CTGATCCCGACGGCCTCGCCGTCAGGGGGAAGGGAGCCACATATATCGGAAGATGCCTCGACTACGCCGACGCGAAGAGGTTCACCTCCGGACACCCGAATGTCTGGCAGAGTCAACTGAATGAGTCGGCATCGACCGTCCATTCCGTGGACAGGGGAACGAACAGGGACAGGCCATCCGCCAGGACGTTGGACACCCCCCAGACGTGAGCCGCCAGGAGAGCAAAACCCTGAGAACTCAGCAGACGAGTCGCAACCAGCCTGACAGCTGGGTGGACAGCGCTTCGGATTCATAGTCCTGAGGTTCTAGGTTCAATCCCCGGTAAAGGTAGACAAATGGGCAAAATGTTTCTTTCACCCTGATGCCTCCTAGCAGTAAATAGGTACCTGGGAGTTAGACAGCTGCTACAGGCTGCTTCCTGGGGATGTGTAACAAAAAAGAGGCCCTGGTCGAGGACCGGGCCGTAGGGACTCTAAGCCCCGAAATCATCTCAAGATAACCTCAAGATAAGATAGCCCCACAGAGACAAAGGACTGCATCGAACCCCCTCGGTTCAGGCAATGAACCACCAGGGCTCAGTCCATATGGAGCCGGATCATCGAATCGTGAGCGACATGAACCCTCCGAAGCGACAGCCACACCATTGCAAACTTGTGCACTGTGCTGTGAGCCTGATGGAAGGACGGACCCCACCAACCCTGTCCAGCGTGGTGAGCACTGGTCACAAAACCCCAGCCAAGAGACGGCCCATCAGTGTACATCAAGCGAGGGCTTGGGTAGGCTCCACAGCACTGAACTTTGAAAAACCCGAAGAGTAAGCCTGCAACGTTGCAGCTGATACAAGGCCCCCAGAAGCCGAATACAGTGGAACCTCCATTAACGAGTTTAATCCGTTCTGGCACCGAGCTCGTTACCTGGAAAACTCGTCTTTGGAAACAAGTTTCCCCATTTAAAATAAAGGAAATAAATTTAATCCGTTCCACTCCCAAAAACATCCATACTTGTATGACTTTTTTTATGTAAATATAATACTGCACATGTAAATATAAATGTTTTGTTGTAGTGTTTTAATATTTACTTTACCTTATGAAGAGTAGTTGCTGGCTTGAGGGAGACGATGGAGAGGTGGGAAGGAGGAGAGGGGTTATGGTGTGGAAGGAGAATCCACCTCTGAGTCAGGCGGACTCTCTCTTCTTGGGAATTTCACCCAAATTTCATTTCAAATGTCACTCAAGGATGCGTTAGACCAGCACCAAATAAAAAACTACGTTGATTACACTCGTTGTGTCAACAATATAATAGTCTTACCACGAAGATACAATACAATGCCGTTTTCTCAAATAGGCAATGTGATTATTAAAGAAAACGGAAATTTCATGGCAAACATGTATACAATCCCCAAGTCGATCGGATAAGAATTGGATTTTATAGAAATATTTGCTCAAATGACGCTTGAGCGCGGTGTTTGGGTGCATTCAAGAGAAAAAAAAAGTGTGTTACGTTCAAGCGACATATACCTGCGAAAGTGATAACACTTTCATAAAGTGTTATCACAAAGTGATAAATTAATTAAACATTTTCACACACCGGGTTGTCACTGCTTTATCAGGGCAGCTTTTCCAAGAATGCGTTCACCTTTTCAGACATTCCAAACACTTCCCTGATCTCAGTGGAAGAGGCAGCATCCTCCCTTACCTCCTCATTCCCTTACTAATGGTGTAAATTGTTGATGAGGACCTGCCATACTTCCTTGTGAGATCAATCACACAGACACCACACTCATGCTTTGCTATAATTTCCTTCTTTAAATCCACAGTAATTGTGTCTTTCTTCCTCTTGACAACACTATCTTTAGCAAGCAGCTTCTTTGGAGACATCGTGTGTTACAAATTGTAGTCGCAAAACCACTAAAAACCCAAAGAAAAGCTCAAATAAATCCAGAGGGATGCTTGTCGTGTGAGATACAACAACAACACTGGCGTCGGAGGCGTCCGAGAATTTGCGAGAACCCGCGAGATGCTAGGAAGCGCCATGTGGTTTCACTCGTTAATAGAGGCGAGCTCGTCAATAGAGACAAATTTGCTGCGAGTGGCTTGCTCGTTACTGGAAAAACTCGTTAATAGAGCCACTCGTTAATAGAGGTTCCACTGTACAATGATCACAAAAGCGGAGGAAGGGATGTCCACGCAAGGAGACGAACCGAACTCAAATGAGGATGGATCCATGACAGAGGCAGAATCAGGGCCTCACAGGAGATACGCAGCAAGAGCCTCCCAAACTTCCTTAGGTGAGATCTGAGAAGCAGAAAACCTCCGGAAGGGAGGAGCTGAGGGATCAAAGGGCACCTGGAACCAAACCCGGGAAGGAGCCAACCCCAAATCATACTCATACAGGGAAGGGGGTAAGAAAACATCTCCCCTTGTAACAACAGGCCCTGCAAAGAGGGCACTAATACCCAAGTGGGGTCAAAGGGAACCCAAGCTCCCCAGGTCAACTCCTCTCCCAGCTCCGGGATCCCCTAAGTCAGGACCCGGGGCAGAGCAGTCCTCCATACCCTCAACCCCTGAAGAAAAGGCAGAGTCCAGGGAAAAGGCAGCAAAGAAGGGGGTCAGCTGGCAGAACCCAGAAGCCTCAGCAGGAGGAGCAAGCACGAATGCCTCCTTCCCCAACCCAGATGGGGCAGCCCCCTAAGCAGCCCGAGTCTCATTACCAACTAAACCCCGCCACGACTCCGAAACCCTCAAATGTTTAGGAGCCGGGAGCCATGAACAACAGGGCAAAGACAAGGGAGTGCGGACAGAATCAAAGTCGAAGGGACTAACACCCCCAAGTCCAGGTCCCTATAACCAAAACAGGGCAGCCTCGGAGCATCCGGGTGGGGCAACCAACCTAGCATGTTGCAGCAACCTAAACCTAGCATGCAATGCGGATGCCACACATACCCAAATATCAATGTCATCAGAATGCGTAAATTGGAGAACAAGCAGAGAACAAGACTCATTAGACTTCGAGGTCAAAGGTGTCATTGACCCAACATGAAGTAGGACAGGCAAAAGTCACTGCCACCCTGAGACAAGGGCACACAGCAATCTTCAAACTCACACGAGGCGAGCTGGAACTCGGAAAATGCATCCATAGGTCCACCAAGCCCTGACAGGGTTTTCCCAGGGCTCGTAGCCTGACTGCTACAGGAAGCCTGGGCAAGGTGCTGCTAACTGGTTAGACCCAAAGCTAAGAAGGGAAAGATCAAAACACTAAAATTCCTGCAACATGTACAATCACTGGGGCTTAACAGAGGGCCACCAAAATACAGTATAAGACGTGGTCCGATAGCCACCATGCAAAAGTACAATGTCCTCAGAGGAAACAGGAACACCGCTCCTTTGGCCATTGCTCCCCGGCTCTCTGAGAGGACCATGTTCTGGCTAGAGGTCCCCGGTAGGCTTTACAACTCCATATGACTGAAGCCCCGTACTAATATTAGCTAATATCAGTCCAGTAGCTCCAGGGAGCCGATAAGGCTCCCCCATAGAAATGTCCTTTAAAGCTAAAGAAATAAAAAAGTAGAGAGATCAACACTGAAAGTAAGCAGCAGCAGGTGGGCTCAAGCAGCCCAATATGAAGCTATAGTAATGCGCATGAGATGTTTGCAAAAATATAAAAGTGAAGGACATAATATTGAAGGAGCAAAAACAAAATTCTGACACAGAGCAATATAATGTTACAGGTTGCCAGACCACCTCATATTAGCAATGAAAAGAAGCCTTTAGGTACTGGATAAGAAATACTGAACCCAGCACTGTGGTCCAATCAAAATACAGGAAAGATAACTGGGTTCGAACACTCCAAGAACAGTTTTGAGATTAAAGACTAAACTGGTCACATGGGAATGTGTTCTCTATGAGGCAAAAGGAACCTAGGTATCAGAGACTTTTCCAAAATAAAGAAAAACTCCCCAGAAAGGAGAGACAACAAAACAAGGAATGGCACTTAGCAATATAGTAACTGCGAGGTAAACATAGTAAAAGGGCATTACTACACCTGTATTAGGGGAGTACAGGATAACGATCTTAACCGTGATTTTTCCAAATGCCACTTAATGCCGGCCCAGGTCACCTAGTGTTCTCACCAGGAGCCCAACTTACTCATGAGCTGCAAATACAGAGCCCCAGAAACTACACGAGAAAAAAGGAGATTAGCAAATGCTCTAATGAAGAGGCAAACAGACCATAAAACCCAACACAGCAAAATAAACAGTCTCAGGATTTGCCAAAGGGCGCAGCACCAGGTTAGTGTGTAAAGAGGTGCTAAAATCAGGTCTTATAGTAAGTGCTTCAAAGTCGGCTTATAGTCTAATCCCCTCCATGCTTCCTTTAGGAGTTTTGTCATCCTCTGTTGACCCCTCCGAGTCCTACAAACTACTGTGCAGAATTTGTTGTCACCATATAAATAATCTCAGTATCTGTCAGACTTTATGTTGTCGAGACATCATTATCACAATCAATCAATCCATGCATCTATTAATTTCTTAAGATTATCTATGAAAACTTTTTGTAACTATCTTGACTGGCTACATTTTTCCCTCTGCATTATTACATCACTTTCACTTAGAGCACAACAAGCAATGATCTTATTTTTAACAATTAACAAATTTAGCATTACTGCAGTTGCAACTTTCTAGCAACCGCAAAGCTGCAATAAATTCCAGCAGCTTCAGTTGCACTTTACTAGAAACTGAAGTTGCAAATGTCTATGCAACTTGCAAATATTTTATTTAAATTACTACAAATTATATCACCAATGTTTGTTTGGTCAATTTAGCGCACATAACACTCAGAGCAGACTTGCCTCGAGTAGTTCTGCTTATTACACGGTGGGTCTTCTATTGCTAAAGAAGACGAGACATACAAGTGCCGGCGCATTATTTCAATAATGTAAGCCACAATGGCCTATGTTTTTTACATTTTAGTATAAGTGCATCAGACAATAATATATCCAACCTGAAGGTCGAAGAAGAGCACACGGCCTCCAGTAGTTGTTGACACAACGATGGTTGTATCTGGCACTTGTAGTCGTGTGACCTTCAAAAGACAATGATCCAGCTCTTCACAGCACAGCATCTCCAACCTTTCTGTTTCAGTATTAAACTGAAATATTCTAACAAAAAGCATAATTAGTATTTATTAGTCACCTCAAACTGTATAGTACAGCAATGCACACGAGGCAAAAATTACAGTGTAAATTACGGTTGAATGGATAAGCTAGAGTGAGTGCACAATTTCACCACCAGGGTAATACACTTTAGCAAGAGGGAATGAAATAGGAGACAAGGTGTAAGTGTGAAGATAAGAAATCAATGTGTCATGTTAGTTTAAGAATATAAGATCTGTCTTCTAGATTTCATCAACTTTTCTTAATAGCATTAAAGGTAAGTTGATGAAACAAGAACTAAAATTAGTGAAGTAAATCCAACTCCAAAGGATACCTGATCAACCAAGCTGTAATTCATACATCAGGCTGCGAGCAGCCGCGTCAAACAGCCTGGTTGACCAGTCCAGTAACGAGGAGGCCTGGTCGATGACCGGGCCGCGGGGACGTAAGCCCCGGAAAAACTCCAAGGTAACTCAAAAGCTCAAAATTAACTGTTACCACATATTGGTGAATAATATATAAAAAAAATTTTGAGTGGAAAAAATCCCACAAAATTAGGTATTGTGGAGGGACTAATGAGTGGTGTTCCTGTAGCTAGCCACTCTGGTCAGCTCCATACATATCGAGTCACACCAGGCCCTTGGAAGTACAAAAACAAACAGCAGGGAGTTGACCAGACCACACACTAGAAGTTGAAGGGACGACGACGTTTCGGTCCGTCCTGGACCAATCTCAAGTCGATTGATGACAATCGACTTGAGAATGGTCCAGGACGGACCGAAACGTCGTCGTCCCTTCAACTTCTAGTGTGTGGTCTGGTCAACATACTTCAGCCATGTTATTGTGACTCATCGCCTGCAAACAGCAGGGACTTGAGGCTGAAACCTGGCCCTCTTCAAAGGCACAGAAAGCAGAGGATCTGTGGTCATCCTCATCAAGGAACAGCTACCACAAAAGTGGAAAGAAGCAAAACAAAACAACAAAGCAAATGTAAACGAATCAGATAATGACTCATCCAATAGTTCGGTGGTTTAGTTCACTTACTGGTAGCAGCTGCTCACTACCAGATGCCAGCACTGGAGTTACCGGCTCCGCCAGTCAATCACCTGGTACAGCCAAGGATGTAACTGCTTCTACAGTCACTTCAAACCCTTCAGGTCTCAGATTATTCTCCAGATAATTGCTGGCCATCCTTTTGACTTCTTTTATTGTTATTTATATATTATTTATATGAGTTCTTACATTCTTGTAAAGGCACTAGCACGCATAGTGTTTCTGGCAGGTTTTTAATCATAATTTTCCCTGGTATATGACCCGCCAAATCGTTTAACAACCAGGTCCTCATTCACTGCTGGGTGAACAGAGACTACAGTTAAGGATTGGCACCCAGTCAATCAACCAAGATATGAATCCAGGCCAAATCCTTCACGAAACACTGGCCGAGTGTCTAACCATTGTGTCACGGGGACTGCCAATGTACTTTTGTTCCACTAGTACTCATTTGCTTGTGTATTGTTCCAACGTTTATTTAGTACAGTATTTGCTTTAAGGGAGTGTGGTTTATACTCACCTGTAGTGTGGACTTGCAGAAACTGTTTGCCGTGACCTGCATGAGTCTACTAGTGACTTCCCTACAGCTGAGAGGCTGGCCTCCAGAGGAGGGTAATTTTCAATCCAGATTGAAATTTTAATAACCACTGTCCAGCCAAAATTTTGCTGGAGATTGCAGGCTGGAATAAGTTTTAAAAAATAAAAAATCACGTCCGGATAGCTTTCCTGCCAAACTTCACCACATCCGAAGAGAAATTTGGAAAACTGGAGATTTTGCTGCATATTTGCAGAAAGGCTTCGGGGCCATACCATATTAATGCTGTAGAGCAGTGGCTTGAGGCGCGGGGTACGGGAGGTGTTGGGGTGAGTTGTTTCAGGGGTCAGGGGTGTCGGGAGAGTGGGAAGGGACCATCTGGGGGATGAGGGGCATGTGGAGATGCCTATGATGTGTATTGTATAGAATAACCACGAATTATGTTAAAACAATTACAGTAAAAACTAAATATATATTATCTAATATTATAACAAATACAAATTTCTTAAAAACTATGTGTACAAGCTGATGACTAGTCTCTTGCTATAATTTGGGGATTTTTTCCCCACCTGGCAGCATCAAGCAGCTTTTCATTTGAGTTGGGGTTATGAAATGGGTGGGGGTCAGGGAGTGAGTGGGGGGTCAGGGAGTGAGTGGGGGTCAGGGAGTGAGTGGGGGTCAGGGAGTGAGTCGGGGGTCAGGGAGTGAGTGGGGGGTCAGGGAGTGAGTCGGGGGTCAGGGAGTGAGTGGGGGGTCAGGGAGTGAGTGGGGGGTCAGGGAGTGAGTGGGGGGTCAGGGAGTGAGTGGGGGTCAGGGAGTGAGTGGGGGTCAGGGAGTGAGTGGGGGTCAGGGAGTGAGTGGGGGGTCAGGGAGTGAGTGGGGGGTCAGGGAGTGAGTGGGGAGTCAGGGAGGGAGTGGGGGTCAGGGAGTGAGTGGGGGGTCAGGGAGTGAGTGGGGGGTCAGAGTGAGTGGGGGGTCAGGGAGTGAGTGGGGGTCAGTGAGTGAGTGGGGGGTCAGGGAGTGAGTGGGGGGTCAGGGAGTGAGTGGGGGTCAGTGAGTGAGTGAGTGAGTGGGGGGTCAGGGAGTGAGTGGGGGTCAGGGAGTGAGTGAGGGTCAGGGAGTGGGGGTCAGGGAGTGAGTGGGGGTCAGGGAGTGAGTGGGGGGTCAGGGAGTGTGTGGGGGGTCAAGGAGTGTTGTCCCGTCTGGAGTACTGTTCAGTACTCACTTCCCCCTTCAGAGCAGGAGAGATTGCTGAAATAGAGGGAATACAGAGAACATATACGGCACGCATAGACGCAATAAAGCACCTAAATTATTGGGATCGTCTCAAAGCCCTCCAAATGTACTCACTAGAAAGAAGACGAGAGAGATATCAAATAATATACACCTGGAAGATACTGGAGGGCCAAGTACCAAATCTACACAGTAAAATAACAACGTACTGGAGTAAACGATATGGAAGAAAATGTAGAATAGAACCAGTGAAGAGCAGAGGTGCCATAGGCACAATCAGAGAACACTGTATAAACATCAGAGGTCCGCGGTTGTTCAACGTCCTCCCAGCAAGCATAAGAAATATTGCCGGAACAACCGTGGACATTTTCAAGAGGAAACTAGATTTATTCCACCAAGGAGTACCGGACCAGCCGGACTGTGGTGGGTATGTGGGCCTGCGGGCCGCTCCAAGCAACAGCCTGGTGGACCAAACTCTCACAAGTCAAGCCTGGCCTCGGGCCGGGCTTGGGGAGTAGAAGAACTCCCAGAACCCCATCAACCAGGTATCAACCAGGTCAGGGAGTGAGCAAAGGTCAGGGTGTGGATGGTGGTCAGGGAGTGTGTGGGAGTCAAGGAGTGTGTGGGAGTCAGGGAGGTGTTGGTGGGAGGTAGGGAGTGTGCATAAGTCATAGGGGGGTGGGCACCGCCACCCACCCACCCACCTACCGCGTGGGTGACAGTGCCGTGATGCCACATGGGGCATTGCAGAAAATGGGAAGACGTTACCTGGTTGATGGGGTTCTGGGAGTAGTTCTACTCCCCAAGCCCGGCCCGAGGCCAGGCTTGACTTGTGAGAGCTTGGTCCACTAGGCTGTTGCTTGGAGCGGCCCGCAGGCCCACATACCCACCACAGCCCGGTTGGTCCGGCACTCCTTGGAGGAATAAATCTAGTTTCCTCTTGAAGATGTCCACGGTTGTTCCGGCAATATTTCTTACGCTTGCTGGTAGGACGTTGAACAACCGCGGACCTCTGATGTTTATACAGTGTTCTCTGATTGTACCTATGGCACCTCTACTCTTCACTGGTTCTATTCTGCATTTTCTTCCATATCGTTCACTCCAGTACGTTGTTATTTTACTGTGTAGATTTGGTACTTGGCCCTCCAGTATCTTCCAGGTGTATATTATTTGATATCTCTCTCGTCTTCTTTCTAGTGAGTACATTTGGAGGGCTTTGAGACGATCCCAATAATTTAGGTGCTTTATTGAGTCTATGCGTGCCGTATATGTTCTCTGTATTCCCTCTATTTCAGCAATCTCTTCTGCTCTGAAGGGGGAAGTGAGTACTGAGCAGTACTCAAGACGGGACAACACAAGTGACTTGAAGAGTACAACCATTGTGATGGGATCCCTGGATTTGAAAGTTCTCGTAATCCATCCTATCATTTTTCTGGCTGTCGCAATATTTACATTGGTGCACATTTTAAAACATGTCCCATAATGATATCTAGTTCTCAAAATAGCCTAATCTCCCAACTTGTGATGCTTGTTTAAATGATCTGCTTCTCAAACTTTACTCCTGGGCCCCAATACACGCCAATAGCCACCACTTCAGTTCTTTAACAGTTGGGCCTTTTTACACTTCATCTAATTAGATACGAAATACTAGCAGTTTCTGAGCTCAGGTCGGTAGGTGTGCATTCATCAGCCCTCAATGAGTGACTTCCTTGGGCCAATCACAGCTCCTCCTCATGTGACATCTTGCTCGGACTGCCTGCTGATTGGTTATCTCCTCTAGTGTTATGGGGCACATTCGTGGTAACATCATCAGCTAGGATGGGTAAATGCTCTCAGCTTCTGGAGTCTTCCACAGACCCTATACCTAGTGAAATTCTCCTGTAACACCAAACTTGTATTTCCTCTTATCCTACCTAGGTTCATGGAAGAAGATTATGATAGTATAAACAATAACAAGAGTAGAAAAATCAAAGTACCGCTACACAGAGTGAGAACACTCCCAAAAGGCTGAGGTCGTATGCTTGACTATGGGTGGTATCATCAATGTCCAGTTATCAGAGTTGTCCATATTTACTTTGCTGTTGTCTATTATGTTCCGCTCTACCTTTCTGGCGGCTTACTCTCTTGGTTAAGGTGATCTACCATCCCCCTGTTCCTTGCACCTCTTAGGGTGGACCAGGTGTTGGCCTCTGGTCTCGCCTACACTGTTTATAACTCACAAGGGCCTGGTGTGACGTACGTACGTACGTACGTACGCGTGCGTGCGTGCGTGCGTGCGTGCGTGCGTGTGTGTGTGTGTGTGTGTGTGTGTGTGTGTGTGTGTGTGTGTGTGTGTGTGTGTGTGTGTGTGTGGAGCTAGCCAGGTCATTAGTTACAGGGAGCCAATGAGGGAGGTCTCCCTGAAAATGAACATACACCAATGATACAGAATTTATAAATACAGTACAGTAATATACCCTAATTACCTTAAAACCCCATCAGAAGATGCCAATGCTAATAATGCTCGAGTCTTGGTGATCCAAAATGCAGTCGCATCCATATAGCGCGTCTCAGGATCAAAGGTTAATTCTTGACTCTTCCAGGTTTTGTGAGAACCAGTTCGTAACATGTGAGATGCAACTTCCTGGCATATGACACTTGTGGTCGATAACCACAATGACACTTGGTCGATATTATACCCAACTTGAACTTCCTTTTTAATATCACTTGAAACTTCTGGCTTTCCTTAAACAGAATTTTTGTCGTTAATATTTTTCATAATATATTATTCGTGTAACAGCCACCTCAGTAACTTTCACCAACTTAGCACTGGCATGTTAGGGACATTCTTGGTATGTCAAGTTACTATGATAACTTGCTACCCACCAGCAAAATGGAACTTTTCCCACCCATGTTGTTCCCACCAAGGGAACATGATGAGTGGGGAAACTCCAGACACTTCTCTGTCTGGAGGTAGAGAAGGGAAGTGCTTGTGTACCTAATAACATTCCCTGGAAACACAAACCAAAACTGTCTCTATTTTCCGCTTGTTACAACTTGTAATAAAGTTGTTACATCATCTTGGCTTAACGTATTTATGACGTATTAGAACGTTGTTACAACTTGCTATATTGGTTGCCATAACTGGTTAGGAGGTGTTAAAACTTGTTCGAACGTTGTATCAACGTCGTAGTTTCGATGTGTGTTTGGTGAGAAGTTCAGAGTTTTGTTTGGTGACTTGTGTGTTGCCAAATATCATTTAGAGAGGAGCCGAGTAATTTAGGATTTCATTTATTCTTTTGCGAGCGGTTCATTTTGGAAGTGATTCCTAAGTACTCTCCCCATCCCTTAGATGGAACAAGATTGATTTGAAATGGTCCTTGTTCTCAGGGGTTAGCAAATGGTTTGGAAACATATCATACCCAAGAATACAGCAAATGTACCAGTGCTAAGCTTAGGGCAACTATAGAGGTGTCGCCCATAAAACTAGTATTGAATATAATGAAATGCCATTTTTTGGGTGAGCTCCGGAGGTTCCCCTGAAGCTATCAAACCTGACATTTGCCATATTAGTTTGGTGCCATCAGTTCCTGGAGTTCTATCCCTACAGGGGGCCATGAGCGAGAACCTGGCCCCCTCAGAGAGCAGAGACACAGGGAGCAATGACCGTATGAGCACTATATTTAGTTTGTCACGTCTGCCATCGACCAGGAAAGGTACCCAGAAAGGAAGGTAAACCAATACAAACCTCTAGCCAGGTTAATCAGTAAACCTCTAACTGGTTAAAATTGCTACCTATGTCCGAACAGAGCCAAAGAACTCCCTGCCCCCAAAAAAGGAAACAAGCAATCGTCATCAACTAGCAGCCCGGTCGCTAGTGCCCCCCCTCTCCCGAGAGAGGGGGGGGGACACAGCCCGCTCAGGAGAGCCGGCCGCACCACCCCCAGTTCGTTAAATGATGAAAACCGCCGACCGGAGGGGAGGGAGGGAGGGAGGGTGTCAGGGAACCCTGACAGAAGATGAGACAACAGGCCGCGACATCCCAAACGACATAGGATTCATAGCATCCCAAATGACATAGAAGATAGCCCAAGGCACATGTAGTCCAGTATACTTAAAGAACACCTGGCCATCACTACCACACAATACCACTAGCAAAGTCACAAATGCCAAAGCCAGGCAATAATATGAGGCCAGTGGGGGACGTCAGGGCACTGGCACATCAGTCAGTGAACTGAGGGTGGTGTGGCTCGCCTGAGCAGCCTCCCCCCCCTCTTTCAGGGAAGGGGGGGGGGTGCTAACAAGCAGGCGCGCTAGTTGGATGACAATTGTATGTTTCCTTATTTTTTTTGGGGGCGTTCTTTGGCTCTGTTCAGACGTAGGTTGCAATTTTAATCAGTTAGGTTTGTATTGGTTTGCCTACGTTTCTTGGTACCTTCCTTGGTTGATGGCAGACATGAAAAACTCTTAATGTAGAGTGCTCATATGGCCATTGCTCCCTGCACCTCTCTGAGGGGGCCAGGTTCGGGCTCATGGCCCCCGGTAGGCATACAACTCCAGGGACTGATGGAACCAAACAAATATGGCACATGTCAGTTTGATAGCTTCAGGGAGCCGACGGGGCTCCCCACGGAAAAGATAATTTCATTACACTCAATGATATATTTTTATATTCATCAACCTTCTTATTTTATTGTGATTTGATCAGTGATTATTTGAGTATTTTATAATTGTACTTTTTGAGCTGCAATAATTTGGATGACTTATGATTAGACCTGGAAACTCACCATAAGAAGCCCTCCAGACTTTCACCTGTGCACGTCCCCCAGCAGACACCAGCCACACCGGCTGGTCTTCCTCCTGCACGGTCGTCACTCTTTCTCTCCCCTCAATCACGCACATTGCCCTGATGTTGGATATGTGGCTGCGAATAACACCCAAAGTTTTACGCTTTTCAAAGCCCAAAATGGAATGCAGCCGCAGCGTTGTGTCTTCCCCACCTGTAGCAAACACTGTCTCTAGACCACGCTGGAAAAGTATCTGCAGGCACATAGTTTCATGTGTGTTCACTGGACTCTGGAAAAAAAAGAAACCATTAGTACAAGGGTTAGTAAGATTAATTTACTGATTTTACTAACACCGTATAACAGTCAACTGCAATATGAAGTGGTATTCTTTAAAGACATAAGAAATGTGTCTATGAAAAACACCTTTCTGAGTAGAGCACTTAGTTACTCCTTCGGTATAGTATAATTATAATTTGTTTTGCTGGGAACAGGAAGTCTGTGTATATACTGTATGCAGACGATGAGTTACAATAATGTGGCTGAGGATATGATGACTAAACCATACACCAGGAGATGAGGAGAGGACGATGTTTCGGTCCATCCTGGAAAGTCACAATCAACTTGATAATGGTTCAGGACGGACTGAAACGTCGTCATCTACTCATCTCCTGGTGTGTGGTTCAGTCATTATATACTGTATACTGTATACTTTAGTCTTGTATTGAGGTCACCCCCTCTCCCAAGGTCGAACTACTGACTCTTTCCAGGATGCAACCCCACAACAATTGCCTAACTCCCAGATATCTGTTTATTGCTAGGCGAGCTGAGGCATTAGTTGAAAGGAAACGACATGCCCAACCACATCCAGCTACAACACTCTCCCACATAGAGCTCCGCGACTCCGGCCACACTCTCTGCTCTGTCTCTGCTCTGCTCCAAGCTCTGTCTCAACGTCTACAACACTGCTGTATCCAGGCATACTAAATAAATATGAAACTAACTAAACACTGTGTATCTAATCTACTCAACAACGTAACATAACTGTACGTTACACCAACCTTGATCAAAGGAAGAAGTTTATCCTTAAGTGTCGTCTGAAAAGTATATGGTCGACCATCTTTCAAAAACAGGCAAATCAGCCTATTTTCTGTCTCAGAAACTTGAAGGTCCCACGACCGGTGGCCACCACCACATTCCACTTCCACCACAGTTCGATCTTCTTCCAAACTCCATACTATTAACTTCACCTGTGAACCAATTTTTAAATTAGAATAATATCATCAGAGCAAAAGTATTCATGTTTATCAAATGAACTTGAATATACAGCCTTTTCTGCAATCAGTTCCAGAGATTGTCAATTTATCTTTAAGTAACATCAAATAACCGAATAGGTTGCCCGGACCAGATGTATAGTGGGAGTTGCCGTTAATATATTTATACTGTATTGATTTATTTCAATATCAATCCATTCACCTGGGCTCTGGGAAACTGGAACCGTGGACCCCACGCATGTGAGGCAGGAACTCTATCGACCCAGCTATTGAGTAGTCTTAAAGTGATTATGCGTGGCAGGAACTCTATCGACCCAGCTATTGAGTAGTCTTAAAGTGATTAGACATTGAGATGTAAGTCTATCATGTTAATCACACACTCAGACCTTCATAAAGCACTCAGAAGTGTGAAAGACATGGTGTAAATTCCTTACATAAATTTCACATATAAACAAGTGTGGGATTTTATCCTGTGTTATTATGTCTGTGAGAAGACATTTCCATTACTAAATTGTTATTATTATTATTATTATTATTATTATTATTATTACTATGATCCCTAAATTATTGGGAATCATCTCAAAGCTTTCAAAATACACTCTCTTGAAAGATGAGATCAAACAATATATACATGGAAGATACTGGAAGGACAGGTTCCAAATCTGCACAGTAGAATAACAACTTACCAGAGTGAAAAATACAGGAAACGCAGAATAGAACAAGTGAGGAGTAGAGGAGCCATAGGCACCATCAGAGAAAAGTTCATAGCTGTTCAATACTCTTTTAGCAAGCATTAGAAATCTTGCCAGACAAAGGTGAACTTCTTAAAAAAAAAAAAAACAGCGTTGAATGTAATGAAACACCATTTTCTGGGTGAGACCCTGAGGCTCCCCGGAGCTATACAGGGCTGATGTGTATATATTAGACCGTGGCAACGGTCAATCGAAGGTGTTCTATGCCTACCGAGGACCAGAACCTGGCCCACTCAGAAAGGCACGAGGAGCAATGGCCTATAGACACCCCCGTGTAGTTGAAAGCAGTCTATATCTGCCATCTACCAGGTCAGGCATGCAGAAAGGTAGGAATCCCAAAACAAACTACAGCTGGTTAAAAATTGCAAACCGAAAGCCAAATGAGCAAGCAGAACTTCCTGATCAGAAAACAACCAAACAAGCATAACATCACCACAGCTGCTGTGCCACTGTCTGCGCAGCTCCCTCTTCCACGGGAGGGAAAAGAGGGGCCCCAGACCTTCCGTGCCGACTACCCAACCACAGTTCAGAGGCAAAAATGCGAAAAACCACCGACTGGTGGGTAGGAGAGATGCCGGAGTCTCACCCAGAAAATGGCGTTACAATACATTCAACGCTGGTTTTCTATGGAGAGCCCCTTCGGCTTCCCGGAGCTACCTAACCAAAGATAAAGGAAAAAAGGGATAAAGGAGGCCCGCTGACACAACCCAAAAGCCCTGGCAGGAGGAACAGGCTTGAATGCCTTTGCCGCCGATCCAGAAGGGGCAGTCCCCGAAGCTGCCCCAGTCTCACCACAAAGAAAACCCAGCCCCAATTCTGAAACCCTTAGATGTTTGGAAGCCGGGAGCAGAGACAGGGGGAGAGCAGGATGAAACACAGCAGGGGACGTACGATGGGGCGGAGACGAAACCAAAGTCGAGGCAACTAACACCTACAAGTCTGGGTCCCTATAACCAAAGCGGAGCAGCTGCGGGGCATCTGGAAAGGCAACCAACTTCGCGTGTTGCAGCAACCTATACCGCACATACAACACTGAAGCTGCCTGAACCCGAATATCAGTATTAGTGGACTGGGTGAATTGGAGTACAAGCAAGGAACATCACTCCGGGTCAAAGGTGTCATTGACCCAACAGGTAGCATGGCGGAGGCAAAGACAGTGAGTGTCACCCTGAGACAAGGTGACAGAGCAACCTTCACACTCGCACAAAGCAAGGTGGGACTCAGAGGTCTCCTTCATCAGACCAATGAGCCCCAATGGGGGTTTCTAGGGCCCTTAGGCTGACTGCTAAAGGAAGCCCAGGCATGGTACTGTGGGGAAATCTGGCTCTAGATTAATGATAACAAAATGATATATAATTCTAATATGCTCGAAGGACCACTCTAAAAAAAAAAAAGAGAAATAATTTAGAGAACCAGTGACCTATGGATCTCCATGATTAAATGCAATTAAATTCTAATGAATATAATAAATCTATTAATGTATAATGAATGAAGTGTAATATACTGTAAACTGTAGAGCCAAATCTCTCCACACACTTTGGGGGGTTATTCTATAAGGTTAGTTTACATAATGCATGTAATGTATAATAAATTTCATAAATGCTAAGAATAAGAAATGTGCATGTATATAAATTATAAATTCGTATAATATTCAATGGTTAGTTGAGTGCAATGATCTATCTATTAAAACGAGAAAGACAGTTTAGCTGTTAGTAGGAATCGCAACGTGCGTCTCGCAAACTCGTAAATTCGTAGAAATTTAATTCAAATTAAATTTGAATTTGTGCAACAAATTCATAAACTTGTTGCACAGGCTACTCTGGGAACACGTGATCGCGGTGGAAGTTACCGTCTCGCATACGTTTGTATTCCAGGTAGGATTTGATGTTGCCACGTATCGTAACGACAGGGGAAACAACCTAAATACAATACAACAATACAATACAATACAATTTTATTTAGGTAAGGTACATACATACAATAAATATTTACAAGGATTGTTTGACTTATAGGTAGAGCTAGTACATACAATGCCTAAAGCCACTATTACGCAAAGCGTTTCGGGCATAAAATTCTAAAATAAATTCTAAAGGCCTGTACAATTTAGTAAAGATACTTATTCCCTGCCAAAAGTGGTGTCTGTAAATAATTGAAGTTGCAGAATCAGTCTGGAGCCTGAAGGTAGCCAGTTGCTCTGAATTGGGACCGATGTCTATAAGGAAATTTCTGGACAACTCAACAATGGCGGTTCTCGAGTCTCTCTCCCCCTTCCCTTTTGGGTGGCGCATGCGCAATTGCTCCTAAGGCTGGGATCCTGATTATAAATCATAATATTAACTTAATGTTCAGTAAGGAAGGAGATGGGGTATGACGAATATTTACGTCATAATAAAATGTATTATGCGGCAACAATTATTTTCTCGTAGTGCAGGTCAATTAATTTAGACGACATTAAATGATCGAGAAAGATTCAGAGTGGAAATACGGCTTATCATTTTATTCACTGGAACAGCTAATCGTAGCTGTATAAATTAATTCCAGTAAACCATGATAGATTTACTAACTAAAGGTGAATCTATTAATAAACGATTATCCTTAATAAAAAAGCAAAATAAGGCTGGATTCTACTCGATCTGTTAATATATAAAATGATTCCCGGTGGCTAGCTGGCTGATGCAACACTGCCATGATTTTAGGGAGAATTCAGGCGATACTATGCCTCAACTAAATGAATTTAATTTCACTACTCTACTGGTTAGTAGTGTTGGTTAATTATGATGCCTAGTACAAGAAATGCAACCTGTTGTCCTAAGGATTAGTAAATAAGTGTTGGAAATTTCCAACAGGTACTGCTAACCAGATATTCCAAAGCTACCAAGCAGACAAACTAAAAGCTGAACCTCTGCAACATGTGCAATTACCAGGGACCTAGCGGAGGGCCACCAAAATCATACAAGTGGTTCTACAGTCACACCAGGCAGACCCCCAACAGGCAAAACAAAACAAAAGAACAACCCCACAAAAGCTCAACGTCTCCAGGGGAACAGAACCGGTCGCTATGCGTATAACGGACAGCTGCACAGTACCTTGCACCCCAGCCAGAGACGATACTAACTCCTACCCAAGGTCAAACAGGAAAAAGAACAACCCCAGCTGACCTCAAGTGTGGGGCAATCACCGAGCAACAAAAGAACCACACAGAGGTAATCTCTCAAGTGGCCTATGGAAGACAACCATAAACCGCAAGGGCAGTACTTACAGGGCACCTAGGGAAGGTGGCCCTAGGCGCATGCAGCCCCAGTACTCTTGTGTTACTCCTGGCTCATACACCACCTACCTTGAGGCTACCTTGAGGTGCTTCCGGGGCTTAGTGTCCCCGCGGCCCGGTCGTCGACCAGGCCTCCTGGTTGCTGGACTGATCAACCAGGCTGTTAGATGCAGCTGCTCGCAGCCTGACGTATGAGTCACAGCCTGGTTGATCAGGTATCCTTTGGAGGTGCTTATCCAGTTCTCTCTTGAACACTGTGAGGGGTTATGCCCCTTATGTGTAGTGGAAGCGTGTTGAAGTCTCGGGCCTCTGATGTTGATAGAGTTCTCTCTCAGAGTACCTGTTGCACCTCTGCTTTTCAACGGGGGTATTCTGCACATCCTGCCATGTCTTCTGGTCTCATGTGGTGTTATTTCTGTGTGCAGGTTTGGGACCAGCCCCTCAATTATTTTCCACATGTAAATTATTATGTATCTCTCCCGCCTGCGCTCAAGGAAGTACAGATTTAGGCTCTTTAGTCGGTCCCAGTAATTTAGATGTTTTACTGAGTGGATTCTAGCAGTAAAGGATCTCTGCACGCTCTCTAGGTCAGCAATTTCTCCAGCTTTGAAAGGGGCTGTCATTGTGCAGCAGTACTCCACTCTAGAGAGCACAAGTGTTTTGAACACCCACACAGAACAACACCGCTATGGACAGCACTGCTTAAAAGGTTGGAGCCAGAGTCAATCGACTGCCACCAAACACAACAGCCACTGAACTGGGGTTGGGAAGCCGACATGAGGGAGTCTGGGGCTCCTCCTCCACCATCCGGGTAGGTGGAAGTTGTGCAGACAGCGGCACGGCAGCTGTGGTGATGTTATGCTTGTTTGTTTGTTTTCGATTTGGGAGTTCTGCTTGCTAGTTCGGCTTTCGGTTTGCAAATTTTAACCGCTGTAAATGAACAAATCCACAAGGGCCGTGACGAGGATTCATTTGATGCATCACGTTATTGTGATTGCTGTGTGTTTGACCAGCTGTAGTTTGTTTTGGAATTCCTACCTTTCTGGGTGCCTGACCTGGTAGATGGCAGACATAGGCTGCTTCCAACTACATGTGGGTGTCTATAGGCCATTTATTCTCATGCCTTTCTGAGGGGGGCCAAGGTTCTGGTGCTGGTCCCTGGTAGGCCTAGAACTCCATCGATTGACTGTTGCCACGGTTTAATATATACACATCAGCCTGGTATATCTCCTGGGAGCTGAAGGGGTTCTCCACAGAAACACCAAGAAGGAAAGACAGGACAACTGAAACCAACACAGAAGAGAACAACGAAGGGAGAGGAAATGGTGAAAAGAATGCCAGGAGACTTCATACTATCACTGAGAGGAGGACCACAGGTGGGACACCAACAAACCAGCCACCTGATCCCCATAGAGATGGTGATAAACAATCATCAGAAACTCCAGGTGCGAAGATCGGAGGAAGAGGAGACCCAGCAAGGTGAATCACCGGACCATTCTGCGGAAAGAGGAGGAGCCATGGGAAAATGTCCAGGATCGGAAACTGAATAAACAGTGCCTGAAATCAAGGCTGGGCCTGTCACCAGGAAGCCAAAAGGAAACCTTGCCCCTGTAGAACTTCAATTTCACCAGGATTCAAAGCAAGAGCCAGACCAGAGGTAAGAGGTTCAGAACCCCCCCCCCCACACACACACACACACAAAACCAGGCCAGCTGAAAGTTATCCACTGTGACCCTCGCTGACAGGAAATGATGCTGCGTAAAGAGGAAGGCTCAGCAACTAAGTTAACACAAAGAAAATGGCCAGTGCCAACACCTCGAACTGGAAGTTTGAAAGAGAGTATGACACAAACCAGACAAAGAACTGGCCTACGGAAGTGGAAGTGGACCACCTCAACCGAAATAAGCAACTCCCTAGCCCCACCTAACCACCACAAACATGAGGAACCCCCCCCTCCCATAGCACAATCTTCTCCAGAGACCACAACGGAGAAAAAGAAGAGACAGAAAGAAGAGCCAGGGCACACGCCAAATGAAGGTCAGCACTGCCTGTCGACATGAGGAACTGGGAGGCAAAACTGTGGCTACCATCTCTTGAAGGACAGGGGGGCATATATAAAAAACTGCAGATGGTCCCACAGTTGAGACCAAAATCCCAGCACAAGAAGCAATGCAGAGAGCCCCAGTGACCTCCAAGAGCAGGCTGAAAGCAGCTTCAGAGGGTTAAAGAAGTGCACGACAGTGCCTATGTGCAATGAGCATGAGTCTACTGCAACAGTGTAGTTGACAACTAAGGAACCTGAACATGGAGTTGCAACAACTCAACATCCCTTGGCAGAGTGGGGTAAACAGGTAAACAAGGAGAGGCAGAAGAAAATGCCCTCCAGAACCCATCACACAGAAACTGCATGCCCTCAAGCTAGTGAAAGCGACAAAAACCAAGCCTAGCTGCTTGTACAAAAGTAAGTGAACAATTTTTTTTTGTTATAGAAGAGAAAAACAAAGGGATGTCTGCCAGCCATACAACTCCGGAACCTCACAACACACCCAACCATGACAGAGGCAAAATTCGGGTCGTGCTGGAGGTACGCACAGTGCCTCCCATGCCTCCACTGGGGAAGGCAGTAGGCCAGAACTTCCAAAGTAGAAACCCAAGGAACTGAAAGGCACTCCGGAAATAAACCTGGGGAAAGAGACACACACTAATGCCCACAGGAACGAATGGAATGAAGTACCCTGCACAGAAAACCCCCACTGAAGGAACAAGTGTCCATGAAGGATCAAACAGGACCTAAGGGTCCATGGGTGACTAACCCCCACAAGCTACAGGAACCATATGAAAGGGCCCTGGGCAGAGTCAATATCCATGCCCACCGCCCAGAACAGAGAAGCGGAGTCCAAGGAAAAGTTGGGGCTTCTGTAACCCAGAAGCCTCAGTGGGATCAACAGGCTCAACTGCTTCCATGCTCAGAGGTAACCAAGCCACATCCAGAGCTAAACAGTGTCCTGACCCTGAAACCCTCAGATGCATCAGGGCCAGAAGCAAGTGGGAAAAAAGAGGGAATGCACACTCATGGGGGCACCTCCCTCTTGGCACACATACCTTCATGGTGTGCCTACCATGAAGAGGAGGTGCGGACAGAACTCATAGTGGAAGCAACCAATACCTACAAATCCGAGTCCCTATACACCAACCAGGCAACCACCACTCCTGGGCAACCAACCAGGCAACCACCACTGGTTGATACCTGGTTGATTGAAAAGGTTGCCCACTCCTGGGCAACCAACCAGGCACACAACCTAGATCATTGTAAAACAAAAAACACCTTAAGGGTAAAGCGGTTGCTGCCTGAAAACGCTAATCATCATTACAAGGGTTCGTTCGATGAGTAACCTGCAGAGAACAAGTCCCACATAACTCTGGGTCAAAGATGTCACCAACTCAGTATATAGCATAGCGGAGGCAAAAGGCACGAGCATCACCTAGTGGCACAGACAATGCACAACCCTTGAACTCGTGCAAGGCAAGAGTGGGTACAGCGGGGATATACAATATACACTGGACTGCCAAACCTGCAGGCATTTTCCAGGGTCTGTAGGGAATATTCCTACAGGAAGCCCAGGCACTGGGGTTACTATGCCAGAACCCCAGTGTTTGAATAGGAACAGGTCCTCCAGAGAAGAGCAGGGAAATCTCAATGGAACAAAAAGGGAATAGAAGCAGATGGACATTGGAACGTGTACAAGTCGACCAACCCAGCTCACTAGAGGCCGAGATGGCCGACACCGGCATGCCTTTGTTAGGCCATACAATCCCCAGTGCATCCTGCCATCAGGATGTATGTGTGTAGGTTACACATCAGGTTGTGTGTGTGTATTGATCCTGGATCAGATAGTTGCTGTCCCCTGCTGGTGGTGGTGGTGGTGGTGAAGGCAGCTGGGAAGGGAACACTGCTTCAATTGGCTGTTATGGCATACAGGTGTCAAGAAAAAGTAATCAATAAATAAACAAAAGAAAGCCAAGGATAACAAGAAATTTAAATCAATCATTTACTATAAAATGAAAATAAACTTTTGTTGGGTAAGAGAGATATGTAAATATACTTACATCATGAAAACAAACAGCTAAGGGCCTCCCAAATATTAATACGAGTTTTGCAACCCAATTCACATTGCAGACCCTTGAGACCCTAATTATTTGCAGATGTCTGTCCTCAACAGCCAAACAACGTACACATCCATCTCGCCCAGTGCTATATATTAAGTTCCCATGAAGAGACAGGCTCGTTACGCCATTTCTGCCATGGATGCCACGAAGTGTATGTTGGGCTTCAGTTACCTGGAAAATAAAGGTAAATACTGGTATAGATTGTCTGTACAAGAAATTATTCTTTAACAAACATTTCCACTCTGAAAAATCTGCTTTAATACAAACCATGGATTAGACCAGTCTGAGCAAAGGCCCCTCGTTGCTCCTGAAGCCCACATGGTGGGCTTCGGCACACTATATACTGTCGAGTTCACAGCTCAATGGACTATTAGCCTAATTGTGATATGAGATCTTTAAGAATGACTTTATCATATAATTAATAAGACTGGGAAGACACAGAAATGTTTTCTTCAATCCATCATCAACCAACAAACTCACTATAATTCAGAACAACACATCCCACACACTTGACACCCTCCCTCAATTGATAATTGAAAACTCAAGAAATACTAACTATGGCTCTGGAAACTACTACAACCAACAAAAATAACCCAAATGCCACCAGATGGTGGCATTAATCACCTTAACAGGGTCAGAGGAGCTGGAAAACCCTCATTTAATGCCTCATGTTCACTTCACTTACTTGCCAGCTCTAAGGGAGACTGGATTTTACACGAGTACTCTGCCTTGCCATTTCTTTAGTTTCCTTGCTAGTTTCTATAGTATTTCTCCATCAATGAATTCATAAGCAACTCTGAAATTGGCAAGCATAGCATAGGCTCCTCTCACTGTGCCTTCGATGTGATCCTATGGCAACAGTTTACTATTCAGAACCAGTCTTAATTTAATTAATTAATTATCAAGGGAAAGCGCCAAACCATTACGACTTTATAGTACTTTGGAAGGGGTCAGGATAAGGATTTTGAATGGGACAGGGGGAAGGAATGGTGCCCAACCACTTGGACGGCCGGGGATTGAACGCTGACCTGCATGAAGCGAGACCGTCGCTCTACTGTCCAAAGTGGCTGGGCAAATCAGACTTAAGAAATACTTTTTTTTTTTTTTACATAATTTGCATGATCAGTATGGGCTATTCTTCAATTTCACATACCATAAAGTAGAATTTATTCACATTGAAAATTCCATTTAGTGTATATTGCTCTGTTCACTCATTTTGTCTAGGTCACTCTGAAGGTCATCTTAGTCTATTATTCTTCCCAATACTGTAGCTTCATTCATGAACACATTCCAACACCTCTCAATCCCTTCAGGCAGATCCTGTAGCTCAGTGGTTAGTGCAGTCCGCTCACAACTGAAAGATCACCGGGTTCATTTTTGAGGAAGGACAAAGATGTCTGAGCATGTTTCCTTTTTACCTTATGCCTCTGTTCACCTAGAATTAAATTGGAATGCAGGAGTTAAGCAATTGTTGTGTGTTGTACCCTGGGTAAGGTCATAGTTGGCCTGGGTAAAAAAGGGCCTGGATAGGCCGAGTATATGTCGTGTCCTGACAATGGTAAATCATACTGTGCGTGTATATACAATGAACATTACAGGTTACCTTGAGGTGATTTCAAGGCTTAACGACCCCGCGGCTCGGTTGTCGACCAGACCTCCTGGTTGCTGGACTGGTCAACCAGACTGTTGGATGCGGCTGCTCGCAGCCTGATGCACGAGTCACAGCCTGGTTGATCCGGTATTCTTCGGAATTGCTTATCGAGTTCTCTCTTGAACACTGTGAGGGGTCGGCCAGTTATACCCCTTATGTGTAGTGAAAGGATGTTGAACAGCCTCTGATGTTGACAGAGTTCTCTCTCAGAGTGCCTGTTGCACCTCTGCTCTTCAACTGGGGTATTTTGCACATCTTGCCATGCCTTTTGGTCTCGTGTGATGTTATTTCTGTGTGCAGGTTTGGGACCAGCCCCTCTACTATTTTCCACATGTAAATTATTATGTATCTCTCCTACCTGCGCTCATGAGAATACAGATTTAGGCTCTTTAGTCGGTTCCAATAGTTTAGATGTTTTACTGAGTGGATTCTGGCAGTAAAGAATCTTTGTATGCTCTCCAGGTCAGCAATCTCTCCAGCTTTGAAAGGGGCTGTCATTGTGCAGCAGTATTCCACTTTAGAGAGCACTAGAGTCTTGAAAAGTATCATCATCGGTATAGCATCTCTGGTGCAAAAGGTTCATGTTATCCAACCTGTCATTTTTCTTGCAGTTGTGACGGCTACTTTATTGTGTTCTTTAAATGTAAGGTCTTCCGACATGAGTACACCCAAATCCTTTACATTGCCTTTTCGTTCTATATTATGATTTGACTGCGTTTTGTACGTGGTTTCCGTTTTTATATTATCATTTTTTCCGTAGCGCATGCGCTGGAACTTATCTTCATTGAACACCATATTATTTTATGTAGCCCATAGAAAGACCTGATTTATGTGTGCTTAGATTTAGTCTAGGTGTCCTATAATTACTCTAGGTGCTAGAGCTAGATCACCTAGGTGATCTAGGTGTCCTATAATTACTCTAGGTGCTAGAGCTAGATCACCTAGGTGATCTAGGTGTCCTATAATTACTCTAGGTGCTAGAGCTAGATCACCTAGGTGATCTAGGTGTCCTATAATTACTCTAGGTGCTAGAGCTAGATCACCTAGGTGATCTAGGTGTCCTATAATTACTCTAGGTGCTAGAGCTAGATCACCTAGGTGATCTAGGTGTCCTATAATTACTCTAGGTGCTAGAGCTAGATCACCTAGGTGATCTAGGTGTCCTATAATTACTCTAGGTGCTAGAGCTAGATCACCTAGGTGATCTAGGTGTCCTAGATTTACTCAAGGTGCTTCTGATACTCTGCTCAAAGATACTGATACTGCTGCTATCTTTGATACTGTATTTGATATTGCTGCTATCTTTGATACTGTATTTGATATTGCTGCTATCTTTGATACTGCATTTGATATTGCTGCTATCCAATGAAAGAGTGGAAAAGAATAAGCTGCACCCAAGAAATGAGATACTGTACTACTTAAAAGTATCTTGCTGTAGTTTACTGAACTACGAGTCGTGCTGAAGAATACAGCTGAGGAAGGAATAAAGACAAAAACTCTACAGTATTAAGAAATTAAGGGTGAACACTAACACCAGGGGAATACAAGTGAAGACTGCCCGCCCGATCACCGCAAATAAGATTTTGCGTTGCATTCCGAGGCGTTGGCGGGTACACGCAGGCAGCCGACACCCAGCGCTGCTTACAGCAAGGCAAGTCATGGCTCCACTTCTTGTTCATCTCACCTTTAAAAATGAATGGAACATTAACATTTGTTCTTTTAGGGAATAAGGTACAAAGTTCTTGGCACAACTGGATAAACTATTAAATAGCCCTCCTTGTAAATTTATGAAAACCATATTAAGTTAGGATGCTTTTAGAAGTACTGTATCTTGAGCTCAACCAAGATATGCTACAATAGTTTTGTAACCTATTTGTTTTACAATTAATCTTTAGTTTGTTATATATGGTTATTAATATTACACATGTAACAATCATAATCAAGTATTTTATGTAATGAAACCCACACTGGCCTACTGAAAGCCGGGCCCAGAATGTTGCATTCTATGAGGTTAGAAGAGCTTAGTAATCATAACCCGGCATTGACTGTAATGAAACGCCTCTTTCTGAACGAGCCCTTCTGGCTCCAAACTATTAGGTCACATCTGCCAGTTATGTTTGGCTTACAGGGAACCAGAGCTAGAACCTCTGCCCCCCCCCCCACCCTCTCACAGAGACAGAGAGCAGGTGACACTGTGCCACCGAACCGGGAAAGCATCCAGAAAGTCAGCAAACCAAAACAGACCACCGATGGGTTAAAAGAAACCGAAGCCTCAAAACTGCCACATAAATTCCACAATGTAAACAAACGAGTGAATCTCTCGAAACTAGCGTGAGCTCATTAGCACTAACCCCCACCAGTGGGGAATGGGGGCAGAACTCTAGGTCTCCACCAGCCCTCTAAGCCAGTTCTCAAGTGGATGTGAAGATACCACCCCTTATCTGATGAACCTGGATGGGAGGATGGGACTCGGGGAGTCACCAGGGCTCATCCAGAAACTAGGCATTTCATTACATTCAATGCTTGATTTCTAGGAAAGCCCCTTGTGGCTTTCGTTAAGTCGAACCCCCTCAGTTTAGACAACGAAACACTGGGGTGCAGTCCGAATGGAGCCAGATCATTGATCTAATAGCAATATGAACCCTTAAAAGTGACAGCCACACTGCCGCGAACTCCTGCACCATACTGTGAGCCTGGCGGAAGGACGGACTCAACCAACCCTGACCAGCCTGGCGAGCACTGGTCACAAAACCCCAGCCAAGAGACGACGCATCAGTGCACACATCGAGCGAGGGCTCGGGTAGGCGCCATGGCACTGAACCTTGAAAAATCTGAAGAGGAAGCCAGCAATGCAGCAGCCGACATAAGGCCCCCGGATTCCGAACCCAATGATCGCGAGTGCGGCAGATGGAACCAGAACAGCCACTAAAGCCAGACCAGACCCGACGGGTAAACCAGCACGGAACAGTTCAGACTCTCACACTGCTGCTTGAACAACCAACCAGTGAGGTTGGTTAAAGGGCTCCAGGAGCCCTTCAAAAACAGCCGAAGGGGGGACCGCAGCCTCAGCACTGATGCTGGAGGGAGAGACAAGAAAGCGGTCTGAGAGTCCCACACAAGACCCAGTTAAGTCCGAACCTGAGAGGGAACCAGATGGGACTTCCTCCAGTTCACCAGTAACCCGAACCCGGCGAGCTGGGAAAGAACCAAACTCCTGGTGTGCAGACATGCGGACCGGCTGGGAGCCCACACCAGCCAGTCATCGAGGTAGGCCAGAACCCAAACCCCTGGCAGATGCAAGCGGATCACCACGACCTGGGCTTTTTATGTGAAAACGCGAGGTGCCAGATTCATGCCCAAAGAAAGGCAACAAACGGCAAGGCAACTTGTCGCCCCATGTCCCCAGATGAATCGGGACATGCCAATTTGTGTCCCAGAGGTCCAGAGATACCATCCAAGCATCTGGCACCAAAAGAAGGCGGACCTGGGACAGAGTGGTCATCCGAAAGGAGGGGCAAAAGACCCAGGGGTTCAGACGGGACAAGTCAAGCATGAACCTCAGATCCGCACAGTCCTGTTTCGGGACTGAAAACAGTCGGGAAACCCACCTGAGGGACGCGGTCGTTCTGACCATGCCCAAGCAAACCCACTCCAAGATGACCTGACAAAGTGCAGGAGAAGAGGCCTGCCCTGTGAACCACGAACCCCCCGAAGGAGGAGGAGCCACCCAATGCCACCACAGGCCAAAGGAAACAACCCGAAATGCCCACAAATCATGAGATCAGGTGTGAGCATACAGTGCTAGCCTCCCCCCCATCGCCAAACGATACGAGAAACCGACCGACCCACAAAAGAGACCACTGCACCGACCAGATGCCACCGGCTCCAAAGGCAATGCCTGTTCTGAAACTAGCACCACTGGTCTACCCCAACCGAAGAAACCCTGAACTCTGGTATGACCCCTCCGGGAAAGACTCCCCCCCCCCCCAGCAACCCAGAAAACTAACAAGTCAGGGCGACAGCTAGACGATGCCGCCTGTAGATACTGCACAACCGCAAAATCTGAAAATAGCAAAGAACAAAAGGGTGACAAAAATTTTAGATCCAGGGCCCACGCGGATTCTAGGGAGTGAGCGACCACTGCCTGCTGGCACGTGAGGTGAGAAGCAATGAACAAGAGACGGAATCGGCGCAAACAACTTCAACAAGGCAGCCAATGCCCGAGCCGCCGAGGCAAGCACACCTTACATCAGCCCGGTAGCCAGCACCTCCACATCCTCCTTAAGCCAGTCCGAAGACATCTTGAGCAGGGAAAAGAAATGCATAACCGAAGCCCCCGGGCACGCAAATCCTCAGCCACCAGAGACACCGAAAGGATGAGAACCCCTGCACGTGAAGCTGCACCTGGCCAATATCCTTAGGAAGAATGGGGGGCGAATAGCACTGATTGAGGTCCTCCAACCCGACCCCCAGGTAAACATGAGCAACCATAGAAGTTATCCGCCATTCAAGCATGCGGGTCCGACAGAACAAATGCCATGCCCCCAAAGAAAAAAAAGAGCAGTCTGCCAACCATGATGACTCCGGCACCTTTTAACGCACCCAATAAAGAAAAGCAGAACCGAACTCAAACGAGGAGGGGGTCCATTATCGAGTCCATTAACCAAGTGGAAGAACCTCCCCCCCCACCAGGCAACAAACAAAAAGAAAAGAAAAACCCCGCAAAAGTACACCTCCAGGAGGAACAGAACCGGCCGCTGAGATAATAGGTGACAAGCTGCACCTCCTACCCAAGGTCAAACAGCAGCTATGAAAACCCCAGCTGACCCCAAGGGCAAGCAATCACTGAGCAGCAAAAGATCCCCACAGAGGTAGTCCCCGAACGACTTGTGGAAGATAACCCCAAGCCGCAAGGGCAGTACTTACAGGGCACCTAGGGAAGATAGCCCTAGATGTATGCAGCCCCAGTACTCTGTGAATTAAACCTGGCCCGCACACCACCACACAGCAGAACAACTCCGCAAAAGCACAGCACTGCACAGACAGGAGCCAGAGTCGAACGACCGCCACTCAACACAGCCTCAGAACTGGGGTTGGATGGCCGGTGCAGGGGTCTGGGGCTCCCCATCCCCCTTCCGGGGAGGGGGAAGCTGCACAGACAGTGGCGTGACGACAGTTGTGATGTCATGCATGTTGCTTGTTTTCGGATTGGGGAGTTCTGTTTGATATTTCAGCTTTCGGTAGCAAATTTGAACTAGGCAGAGTTTGTTTTGGGACACCTACCTTTCTGGGTGCCTAACCCAGTCAATGGCAGACATGGAATGTGTCCAACCACATGCAGGTTTCTATAGGCCATTGCTCCTCGTGCCTCTATGAGGGGGCCAGGTTCTGGCTCGTGGTCCCCGGTAGGCTAGAACTCCAATTCAATTAACTGATGCCACGGTCTAATACATACATATCAGCCCGGTAAGCTCCGGGGAGCTGGAGGGGCTCCCACAGAAACTAGTGGGAAGGCCCAAGAACCTGGAGCATCTCTCTAAAGCTTGACTAAACCAGCACAAAGCTCAGAAAGCTATTAAAGCCCCCCACCAGAAAAGTGTGTTTTATTACATAAGCATAAGCTCACTGCACAGAAACAACTGTTTCAAAGATAAATGTCACAAAGCACTAAAAAGAGGTCTCTGCAACACCTAGGAGTGGTGTTGGTGGTGCCACAGGTGTCACTGAGGCACGCACCAAACTATATGAGAGGTTGGCTGCTCCCTACAACCCTGTTGACATATAGGGTGCTGCCACCTATTGGTGGTATGGGGTAGTGGCCAGGATGCTGAACTAGTAGTGAGCAAAGCAATAGTTGGTAATCCCTGTAAGGCTGTGTATTACACGGAGAAGGGGGTTTTGAGTTTTAATGTTCCTTTTGATGATCAGGCAGATCATTCATCTCCAATGACTGATAACCAAACCACTCACCAGAAGATGAAGAAATGAAAACACTTTGGTTCGTTCTAGACCCTTATCAGATAGCGGGAGTTGGTCGGCCGAGTGGACAGCACACTGGACTTGTGATCCTGTGGTCCCGGGTTCGGTCCCGGGCGCCGGCGAGAAACAATGGGCAAAGTTTCTTTCACCCTATGCCCCTGTTACCTAGCAGTAAAATAGGTACCTGGGTGTTAGTCAGAAGTTACGGGCTGCTTCCTGTGGGTGGAGGCCTGGTCGAGGACCGGGCCGCGGGGACACTAAAGCCCCGAAATCATCTCAAGATAACCTCAAGATATGACTTGATCCAGGACGGACCGAAACGTCGTCGTTTCTTCATCTTCTGGCGTGTGGTTTGGTTATCATATCTTCAGCCACGTTACTGTGACTCAACATTTGTATCTCCAATGACTTATTGTTTCCCCCAGTGTTACTTGGTGGGACAATTAAAAAGGCCCCCCAGTCAGGAAGAGGAGTAACATCAACAGTTACCTGTCTGTATCTAGGTCTGCCCATGGAAGGAGAAGGCATCTACCTAAGGAAACACTTGAATGACATGGCTTAAAAAAATAAAACACACACACACTTGGGTGATACCTGTGTTAGCATGAACCTCCCAGACAGTGATGATACCTGCCGCCCCACACACAAGGATGCAGTTCTGGGCCAGCCACAAGAGTGAGAACACCTTTCCCTCACAAGTCTTCACATCCAGTAACACCTCAAAGTTTCCAGTATCTGTAGCAAAAAGAGCAAATACACAAAAATACAGCCATGTGTCTATGTTGACCAGACCACACACTAGAAGGTGAAGGGACGACGACGTTTCGGTCCGTCCTGGACCATTCTCAAGTCGATTGTGAATGGTCCAGGACAGACCGAAACGTCGTCGTCCCTTCACCTTCTAGTGTGTGGTCTGGTCAACATACTTTACCCACGTTATTGTGACTCATTGCCTGCCCATGTGTCTATGTTAGTGTATGTATGTATACAACAAGGGTGGGGTCTACTCTACTCACACATGGAAGGGGAAACATAAAAGGCTAACATAGTTCCAATCTACAAAAGTGGAAGCAGGGAAGACCCCCTTAATTATAGACCGGTATCATTGACAAGTGTAATAGTCAAAATATTGGAAAAAATAATTAAAACTAAATGGGTAGAACACCTGGAGAGAAATGATATAATATCAGATAGACAGTATGGTTTTCAATCTGGAAGATCCTATGTATCGAATTTACTCAGTTTCTATGATCGTGCCACAGAGATATTACAGGAAAGAGATGGTTGGGTTGACTGCATCTATCTGGACCTAAAAAAGGCTTTCGACAGAGTTCCACATAAGAGGTTGTTCTGAAAACTGGAAAATATTGGAGAGGTGACAGGTAAGCTTCTAACATGGATGAAAAATTTTCTGACTGATAGAAAAATGAGGGCAGTGATCAGAGGCAATGTATCGGACTGGAGAAATGTCACAAGTGGAGTACCACAGGGTTCAGTTCTAGCACCAGTGATGTTTATTGTCTACATAAATGATCTACCAGTTACAGAATTATACAGAATTATATGAACATGTTTGCTGATGATGCTAAGATAATAGGAAGGATAAGAAACTTAGATGATTGTCATACCCTTCAAGATGACCTGGACAAAATAAGTATCTGGAGCACCACTTGGCAAATGGAATTTAATGTTAATAAATGCCATGTTATGGAATGTGGAATAGGAGAAGTTATAGTCCCCACATAATTCCCACACAACCTATATATTATGTGAGAAATCTTTAAAGAATTCTGATAAAGAAAGAGATCTAGGGGTGGTTCTAGATAGAAAACTATCACCCGAGGACCACATAAAGAATATTGTGCGAGGAGCCTATGCCACGCTTTCTAACTTCAGAATTGCTTTTAAATACATGGATGGCGATATACTAAAGAAATTGTTCACGACATTTGTTAGGCCAAAGCTAGAATATGCAGCGATTGTGTGGTGCCCATATCTTAAGAAGCACATCAACAAACTGGAAAAGGTGCAAAGACATGCTACTAAGTGGCTCCCAGAACTGAAGGGCAAGAGCTACAAGGAGAGGTTAGAGGCATTAAATATGCCAAAACTAGAAGACAGAAGAAAAAGAGGTGATATGATCACTACATACAAAATAGTAACAGGAATTGATAAAATTGATAGTGAAGATTTCCTGAGACCTGAAACTTTAAGAACAAGAGGTCATAGATATAAACTAGCTAAACACAGATGCCGAAGAAATATAAGAAAATTCACTTTCGCAAACAGAGTGGTAGACGGTTGGAACAAGTTAGGTGAGAAGGTGGTGGAGGCCAAGACCGTCAGTAGTTTCAAAGCGTTATATGACAAAGAATGATGGGAAGACGGGACACCACGAGCGTAGCTCTCATCCTGTAACTACACTTAGGTAATTACACTTAGGTAATAAGTGAACAATTTACTTGCAATCAATATAGTATATCTTAGCACTGCTCTTTAATATTATATAACTGGCAATGTACATTTAATTTCATTTAGATATTTCACATTTTTCCTCATATATGCTCCAACTTTTGCCATGCATTGATCCACTCCAAGAAGATCAGAGAGATAATACAGCAGATTCCAATGTGTTACACATGTGCTATGGTACAACTTTTAATCATAATCTAAGCTGCGGGTTATAGCTACAATGAAACACTAACATGGTTAACTCAGTTATGATGTCTAAACACTCTGCTCTTGATGCGCACTATTCTCTTGAATTGTAACCCTCTGCTTTCTCCTGGAGATATCCCCAAAGTTATCAGTCATGAACAAAATATAAACAATTGCAAGATATAAGAAATGTGACCATAGAGAATATTTTAGTGGGAGAATGCTGCTGAACTTGTTCTGTAATGCTGCTGTCCATCACAGCCAAGACATCTATATCAAACACAATATCATACATAACTCCAATACTAATGAACATTAAACACTTCCTACTGAATTAAATCAGTCTTTATGCTCAATTCAACTATGTAATTAATGACCCAAGGAGTTAAAACAAATTAGCAGATCAAACAATTTAAATTTTGTTTACCCATTTAAATTAAGCTTGTAATATGTATTTAAACAAATGTATAATTTATCTGTGCCCTAATATTATACCATCTCTTAAAATCACATTTATAAATTGATGTGAGTAGCCTACCTAGTGCAAGAATGATCACATCACCAGAGAGGGTTCCAAGTGCTACGAGTTTCTGGCTGGGGCACGTCTCCATCACCACGTAATTCATCAGACGCTGGTCCTTGTGGCACAGACTCCAAGACGATGAATTTTGGTCCCATAAATACAAATTTCCACTATCCATCATAACGAGGTATTTGTTCATTCCGAGCAGTGACACGCAACGTGGAAAATCCTGGTTTGCAGATTTCTCTTTACTGTGTGTTTTGACAGCTTTCACATCACAGTCTTTGGACAACCCATTTTTAATAAATAACTGAGAATGATTTTCTTTGACTATATTTTCATCATTATTTAAAACATCAACCCCAAGTTGTCTGGGATCCTCTGAGAACATCTGCATAAATAAAGTCTTGCGATTCTTTACTTCACACAATATATCAGTGAACCAAGGTAAATTAGACAGGGGTGCTGCACAGGGTAAAGCATTCACATTAAGACTCCAAGATTTAACACCGCCATCTCCACCCCCGGTAATTACTTTATCTTCACACTGTGTCGCTGCAATACTCCAAATGGAAGCACCATCGTGAGCTCTCCACTTCATAATTAATGTTCCTTTGTTATCCCAAACACACACTTGGGAGTCTTCTCCAACACTTACGATGCATGAGGATAAGATGAGTGACCGCCATACTCTTGCACTGTGCCCATAACATTTCACTTTCTCTACAATTTGTGATTCTTTCCAATACAATTTAACTTGCTCAGGAGAGACATGACACGACGCTTGTCTAATGTTCTTGCTAGATTGATGTTTTACATTGACAACATCCCAAATTATCAAACTTCTGTCATCAGAAGTTGTGGTAATGATGTTTTGAACAGGACAGAAGTTGACTGAGAAGAGAGAGCCCTGTAAAAATAAAACACTTCTTAATAAAGTTTCTAACACAAAAGTTAATTGTTTTTAGTTAACTGTATTTAAATAAATTAAAATTATAGCAATTTTCCTTATTTCACTGTGCAGTATATTAGCTAAGTATTGCAAGTTGTCATGAAATGCATTTGTCAGCTAGAGACAAGATTATACAAGTGTGTGCATGAAAGATACCCAAATTCTGTATATGTGGGGTGGAGGGGTTTGGTCTGGGTGGCTCTTGAGTAAGGAGACGGGCTCACTGGGAGTCCAGGTGACCTAGGCTGCCACCTGGCCGTAGTCAGGTGTGTCATGATTACGGTGTTTACACTGCGGAACAATCATTTGCTTTGTTATGTAAGAGTACCAAATTTTCTTCCAGTTGTGGATTGTTTTGTTGTGTTTATTCTTTGCGAAGTTTTTCTCAGTTTTGGGCTAATCTCTCATCACAAAGCTCATCTTGTTTTGCAAAAAGAGCCAGATTCTAATCCTGGCTCCACACAGGCTATGATGGGTATCTAGAGACTCTTCTTATCAGGCAGCTACTGCTACGCGTTTTCCCAGAATTTGTGATTCACAGCTTGGTGTTCAAATGTATGTATGTAACAATTGGGACCCCAGAGTTGGTCCCAATGGTGTGAGGGACCCAGAGATGGAGGGAATGGTGAAATTCAACTGCTTTAAGTTTCTCTCCTCCTCCTCCTCCTCCTTTCCCTGCCAGTCACCCAATGTTTGGCCTTCCTTCCCTGGTTTAGGCTCCATGCATCTGCATCTGCGCCTCTTCTCTTTCCTGACAAGGCTGTCTGTGATTTCGGCCACTGCTACTGCCGTTTAGTCCTTATCAGGTTCTTCTGGGGAGGGGGGGGGGGAGTTCTGTCGCCTCTGCTTGGAGGCAGAACACCAGGATTGATGCCTTGCCTGCTGCTGGTTAGGGTTAGGAAGATCCATTTCCTTACAATCAACACTGGTTTTTTGTGGATTTACATAAGATATGAGAATTTGAGCCAAATTCCCATGCTCATACTTGGTGTTGACCAGACCACACACTAGAAATTGAAGGGACGACGACGTTTCGGTCCGTCCTGGACCATTCTCAAGTCGATTGTGATGAGGACAGGTAGGGACAGGCATTAAATAGGCAAGAGAGAGCTGAGGAGGAAAGTCAGGTGTAGGGGATAGTAGTAATGAGAACTGCAGCAGGTCTATTGGCCCATACGAGGCAGCTCCTATTATAACCACCGAAGGAGATAGTAATAGGAATAAGAAGAGGATAGCAAGGGAGCGTAGAAGACAATGAACAGAAAAAGGGAGAAGAGAGAAAGAAAGGGAAAGAGAAAGAAAGAAATGGAAGGGGGAAAGCTTATGTTAAGTCACGTTTGTTAGAAAGATTAGAGCATTTGAGTATATACTGTGAAAGGGAAGAGTCCACAGCAACAAAGCCAGGACTCAAGTTCATGTTGGGTACATTGTTAATAAGAGCCGATTCTACAAGACGGCGTCTGTGTAGAGTAGAGGCGGGAAAGATTATTTTGGAGGAAGACCAATCAATGGGATGATTAGAATCCCTCACATGGCAGAAGAGAGCATTGTTAGTGTCTGCAGACATAACACTTCTCTTGTGTTCTTTAAGTCTGTCATTCAGTGTACGGCCAGTTTCGCCAAAGTATTGGAGAGGACAAGATGAACAGGAAATAGAGTAGACACCAGCAGCATTAGAAGCAGGAGGAGCAGTGTGAACTAGATTGCTACGAAGTGTGTTAGTTTGTCGAAAGGCGAGTTTAATGTCAAGAGGACGAAAGGTATTGGTAAAAGTTTTTAGTTCAGATATGAAGGGAAGGCATAGTACAGTGCTACTAGTGTTGGAAGCAGGTTTAGGATGAAAGAAATTTCGTTTAGCTTGGGAGTGGGCACAGTTGATGAAATGCAAAGGATAACCAAGGCGAGAGAATGATTTGTAGATAAAGGCAATTTCAGAATCAAGAAACTGAGGGTCACTGATGCGTAGAGCGCGGAGGAAGAGAGAGACGAGGACACTTTTCTTAACAGAAAGAGGATGGTAGGAAAAGAAGTGAATGTACATGCCACTATGCATGGGTTTACGGTAGACAGAGAAAGAGAACCTTTGTGTAAATTCTCATACTTGGTAAGAGATCAGGATACTAATTAGGAAGAAACCAGGAGAGGGACATGCCTAGAGCAACAGTCATGAAGCTACAGAACACCAATGAATAAGTCAGGGTCCTTCACCATCACACCGCCTCTTTTATAGCTTATTTCTAGACAAGTATGCTAAACACTTAATAATAATAATAATAATAATATTATTATTATTATTATTATTATTATTATTATTATTATTAAGTAATAGTAATGTCTTCTCACAGACATAATAGAATAAAAACCCACACTTGTGGATTTGTGAAATTTATGTAAAGAATTTACACCAAGTCTTTCACAATCTCCTGAGTGCTTTGCCATGGTCTGATTACTATGTGATTCGGACGAGACTTACATCTCAACGTCTAATCAACGAATAAATGCTGAAATGTAAGTCTCGTCCTAATCACATACTCAGACTTTGACAAAGCACTCAGGAGAGTGCAAAAGACTTTGTGTAAATTCTTTACATAAATTTCACAAATACACAAGTGTGGGTTTTGATCCTATTATTATTATTATTATTATTAAAACTGGCGTTGAATGTAATGAAACGCCATTTTCTAGGCGAATGCCGGAGGCTCCGTGGAGTTATCGAACTGATATTAGCTCTATTAGTCTGGGGCTTCAGTCACATGGAGTTCTGCCTACCGTGAACCACGAGCCAGAGCCCAACCCGGTCGATGGCAGATATAGAATGCTTCCAACCACACGGGGGTTTCTATAGGCCATTGCTCCTCGTGCCTCTGTGAGGGGGGGGAGGGCCAGGTACTGGCTCGAACCTGGCTCCCTCAGAGAGGCGCAGGGAGATATGGCCTATGAAAACTTCACTCTTTGAGAGTATTGGTATCAGCCAATAGATACTCAGTTGAGAGTATCAGCCTTGGTTGTTCACTCAGAAATGGGGCCCGTGATTTTTTTCAAAATGGCGTCTGTTTACTGGAGGCCTGAGAATGCTGATGTGAGCCCCGTGTACCTGCGGAACTTTTAAACCTTACGCAATGCTCTAAAACAAGTATATATGATATGGCAGTGCTATATAATATATATATATATATATATATATATATATATATATATATATGTGTGTATATATATATATATATATATATATATATATATATTGTGACGGTAACGCGTTGGTGTTCGGCTGTTTAAGGCTAGGGGTATGGCCTCGTCACATAGTTATAAAAAAAAAAAATAGAAAAACTGGAACTTCGTCTGTGGTAAGGTAAGGAGAAGACACACAAAACACAAGTAAACTTTAACAATGAAATTTTAATTACGTTAAATAAATCAAAACATGAAAATAATGCACAAACAAATATGTATAATAAAATCAATGAATCAAAATAATAAGAATACTTAAATGACACAATGAAAAGTTACGTTAAGGTAAAATAACAAGTGCAATACAAAAGTTAAGTGGGAGGTGCTGGAATATTGGCTTAAAGCCACCACCTCTCTCAGTACACGCTAACGTCTAGCTGGGAGGAGTGCTGGCTACGAAAGCACGGAACATTCTGAGGACTGATGTTGGGGCGACCCCAGACATCAGGTAGTATTGGGGGCGAGTGCAGGTGCAGCCAGACCGGCGACCAATCAGCGGAGCCGTAGCGATCAACGGGTAGTTTGGTGGTTGGAGTTCGAACAGGTGGCTGGTTGCATACGTTTCTGCTCACCCTGGCAAGCCTTGCTGGTGCTGGTGTTGTTGTCGTTGTTGGACATTTCTTCCATAGTCTTTTTATATAATTGTGAAGACGTAATTTTGGAGGGAAGAGCAGGCTCAATCTCTTGAAGGAGATTATCGTCACAACTCTCCCCCGAAGCCTGCGGTTCTGGAAGAAGTACGTCGTTATGTGGTGGAGTAATGGATGGAGTCGCTTCTACTTCATAAACTCTGGAGAGGGCATCGGCTATGGTGTTGTCAGAACCCTTGATATAGCGGATCTCCAGGTTGAAGTCTTGTAAATACAGAGCCCATCGTAGAAGACGCTGGTTGGTGAATTGGGCTTGATGTAGGAAGCGGAGAGGGTTGTGGTCTGAGAAGATGGTGGTAGACCTGGCGCCTTGTAGGTACGGAGCGAAGTGTTGGAGGTTCAGGACGATGGATAGTAGCTCCTTTTCAATAGTGCTGTAGTTCCTCTGGTGTGGTTTCAGTTTGTAGCTGTAGTAGCTGACAGGTAGAACCTCCTCGCCTCGTTGTTGCATCAGGACACCACCAACGCCGGTACCACTGGCGTCGACATGAAGGACGAAAGGCTTGGTGATATCTGGAGAGGCGAGAATGGGGTTAGAACAGAGGAGGAATTTGAGTTGTTCAAAAGCAACGGTTTGCTGCATGGTCCAATTATACCGTTGCTTGGGACTGGTTAATAGAATTAGAGGTGTGGCGACTGTACTGAAATTCCTCACAAACCTACGGTAGTAAGAGGCAAGACCAAGGAAGCGCAGGAGCTGCTTCCTGGTGGTAGGCTGTGGATACTGTAGGATGGCTTGAGTGTGTGAGTCTAACGGAGCTATGCTGCCACTCCCAATAACATGACCCAGATAACGCACTTTACCTTTCGCGAAAGTGGACTTGCCCAGGTTGATGGTGAGGCCGGCTGTCAGGAGCTTGGAGAACAGACGTCGCAGCTGGAGCAGATGTTCACTCCAGGAGTTGGAGGCTACGACGATATCGTCCAGGTAGGCGTATGTGTTATCCAAGCCCTGGATGACACGGTTGACAGCTCTTTGAAAGGTGGCCGGGGCATTACATAGTCCGAAAGGAAGGCGTTCATATCTGAAAAGTCCAAAAGGAGTGATGAAGGCAGATATCTCTTTAGCGCGCTCCGTTA